GAGAGAGCAAGCAAATGAGAAACAGAGGCAAAGGAATTTTTCATCTACCAGTTCAAATGTCCACAACAGTCCAGGCAGAAGCCCAGAACCCAATCTCCCACATGTGTAGCAAGGATTCAATTCTGGGAGCTGCCACCTACTGCCTTGCCTGTTGTGTGTTAGCAAGAAGCTGGAACAGAGGCGGAGCCAGTCTTATATCCTGGTTCTCCAATCTTGGGAGCAGGTACTTCAAGTGTCATCAAAATCATTGAGCCAAATGCCTGCCCATGATCATACCTTTCTTAACTCCCTGAAGCTTTCCATCCTCACTACTACTGGACTGCTTGGCCTAGCACCACTGTGGCAGAATTTGCTGACTGTAAACAATATGTTACTGATAGGATTTCTTGTTTTCTGTTGCTGGCTTAGCACAGTCAGCTTCATGGGATAAAATGTGATGAGACTCAAAGCTGTTTCCTTGGATTTTAGTAGGAAGCAACAGTTCCACACCTTAACTCAAGGTTCACTTCTGCAAAAGGGAGTAGGAAGCAGGGAAGGGTGCAGGCAGGAATGGCTCCTGATGTAGTTAGCAATGGGGCTAGCAGCTGGGAGGGGGCACTGGTAAGACCTCCCTCCATAAACTAATAGCCAATACTGAAAAACGTCAGAGCTTTTGGCTACAAAGTTCAGAACCTCCAATGTGGCTCCCGCGTACCTAGTACAGAATTATACTATCACTCCGAACTCCAGCACTTGCACTGGCCTCAGGGCCCAGAGAGCACCTGTTGCATCCTTTTGTGTCATGCCTCTGGACTCTCTCATCTGCCTAGGCTGGACCCTCTCCTTGAAGTCCCCTTTCTCTCCTCTCCCTTGGAACTCCTACACCTTGTTCAAGGCTCAGCTCTGATGTCACCTCCTCCAGGAAGCCATTCAAGATCCCTAGTCTGATCTGGACATTATATTTCTGCTTATCTCTCAGCTTTTGTTCACCTGGACAGCTTCTGGAAAACACGCACCTACCCAGGTATCACTTCAGAGAGCTGACAGCTAAATCAGAGCTCGGCAGAGAGCTGACACCCAACAGACACTGGTAAACTGAATAAATAAACTAGGAAATGCATACATCTTATCTAGGTAAGTGGTCGTGGTCAGATACACTAATTGTATTGGTAAGCATTAATAGCCAAATCCACAGATGCCAAGGCACTGTGCCAAGGCCCTAGTCACATGGTGACAATGATTCTAGAATATGAAGCCAGACACACAGCTCTCAGAGCACAGCTCTTACACAGGACTGATCAGCAGAGGTGAGGGAGCAGAGCGCATAGTTGGGAAAGTGGGCAGAGCCAAGGCCCAGGCTGAGGTCTTTGAACTTTCCTTTCTCTGGGGAGCACTGCTGCCTTGTGTTCTTGCACTGGGTCCTAGATGGCCTTCTGTCCTCCCTCTGAGGCCCCAGTGCGCAGAGAGCTTGGCCTTCCCCGTTCCACAGGGTGCCCGATTACTGGGAAGGCTGCTTTCCGCTGTCCCCTGTGAGCCCAGAAGGACCAGAATGTGCAGAGCCAAGATCTACAGCAGATGCCAGGGAAACAATGCGGGCATTCACAAGCGGGAGCTGCCTTTTTGGATGATTGAGTCATTAACCCTTGCACAGCTGCATCACACAAAGCACAGAGCTCAGAAGCAACACTCCCTGAACGGGTCTGGACAGATATTCTTTGTCCGTGCCCTGCTCTCCCTTCGAGGGTTTGTTTCCAAAGCATGATGCTTCAGTGGATGCAATGGGGTTTCAGGGCAGCTGGCACACAACTACAGGTTTCCCCTGGAGCCCTAAACTGTACGTGGCATACTACCCTTTTAGGGACTTGGGAAGCATAGGTGTCTAGTGAGTGCTATCAACCTGCTCCCTTCCTTCCCATGCACAGAAGTTTCCTGGTTCTCCCTGCATTTCACTGATGTTCCCCAGAAGGCCAGGAAATCTAGGACAACAGGAAACCCCAGGAGTCCCTGCTGAAGGGATGCATTCCCTGGACCCTTCCTGAACCCCCTGCCATGCTTGGTACTAGAAAATCAGGGGGGACCAGCTAGGATTCCTACCCAGGCCTGTGGGTAGGGGGTAACGCAGTAGAGACCACCAGGTACCATGATGCCCATGCACGCGGGGACTGACATGAACGAGTAGAGCTGTCCCAATGGGAAGGCCTCAGCTGTGAGGAGGCAGGGCAGGGAGGCCTCTAAAACAGAAGAAGCGCCAGGTCTATGTGCTGAAGGGTGAGGAGGTATCCTCCAGACACACGGAGCAGCAGGGAGGGGTAACGTTCCCCTCCCAGAAGGAACAGGACTGAAGCCGGGGCCTCTGAGAGCTAGGCTCCAACTGCTGCAAGCTGTTCCAGGAGCTCAAAGAGGTGGGACAGGAGAGGTGTGGCAAAAAAAAGGCAGGGGCCGGTGCCGAGAGCCTGAGCCACTGGGGCCTGACCCCAGGGTCAGCTGAACCCCTGAAGGGTTTTAAGAAGAGACAAAACACACCTTGAGTGGCACATCAGAAAGTCTATGCTGGCTGTGGTACAGAGGGCAGCAGGGCACGGAGCTAAGCTGGGGTTAAAAGGCAGCATTTCTGAGGGGCCCAGAACAGCTTCTAGAGGCCTCATATACACATTTGTACACGTATACCCCTGCCCCCTCAGTCACCCAGTTACCACTGCATCTAGGACGGGAGAGGGGTAGTACAGAACAGAAAGGTTAAGTCACTTGCCTCAGGACACAGTCAGTGGTGGCCTGGGGATTTGCATGCAGTCTACATGTCAGTTCCTGCTTCTATGGCACTAAAGTACTGCATCAGCAAAGATGGCAGCGGTTTGCCCGGCAGCTATGCAATTGGGGGAAAATACTGATGGGGTCACCCCACACCTGGGACTCCACTGTTGACCTCGTAAGGGTGGAGAGGTGAAGCCTTGAATTCGGAGACCCATGGTGGAACCCAGAGCAGGCAATGGTAAGGGGCTGGGACCTCCCAGGACAAGCACTTTTGGGGAAGTGGGGGTAATACTTTTGCCTGGGTGGGGGCTGCGTGCAAACTCTTTGGACACAGGGGGACCAAGTATAGGGAGGTAAGGGAAGAATGTGTCCCGGGGAAGAACCTGGCTCTCCTCCGCTCCTTAACTACTGACTCTGGCAGTTCACGGCCACACCTGCTGCAGGGCTCCAAGTCAATGGCTCCTGCAAGTCAGTACACTGCATGTCCTCTGTCTGCCCAGTCCCCTGGCTGCCCAGACCACCCAGGGGGATCCACCTTTTGCTCTCTACCTCCAACGAAAGATGGCACTAGGCAGGAGCATGGATGGAGCCAGAGTCCTACCTACGAGTCCTCAGACAGAAGAGAAGTCAAAGAGGAAGGGTGGCAGGTGTCATCTGTCCAATGCGTGTGCGGTATGCAAAGCTGCGCTTTGACTTTGCTGGTCTGTGGCAACAGACACGTTTTCAGAGTCTCACTTTCCTCCTTTAAAGAATCAGAATCTAACTCGTGCCTAACAGAGCTGCGGTAAATATCCACAGTGAACACTGGCTGTTAGGAAGCAATTCCTCAACCACCTGTGGAATTTCACAGCAACCATCAGATGCTCAGACTTACATTCACGGGGTTGTGTGTGTACAATTTGGAGCTGGAGCTAGGGCCTACTGAGACCTGGGTATAACCCGGAACTTCACTCTTAATCCAGAGACTCCTATAATTCATGACTAGCCGAAGAACAGTAAAGAAGAAAAAGGTTGTTGCTCTCATTTCTCCACTCCATGGAATTCAGGATTACACTCCAGGTTCTGAGAAGTGTTGCTCAGAAGGCTATATTTAGTAACATTTCCTGCTTGCCAAGACAGGTCAATACCAGTTACATTTTTCTGCAAAGACCAGATGCAAAACCCAGGAGACAAGGGCTTTCTGACAAATGGATAATTCAGGAATACTTCATCCACAGGATTAAAACAAACACAGCAAGGTAAGACAGAAATATGGGATGCCACTCTATCCCCCGTCAACCCGGCCTGACCTAGCATCCTGCTGACACCTGTTGGAACATTAGCATCTCTTCAGAAGAAAAGGAAAAAGGCTTTCTCAGAGACTACACCCACGGCAGTGAGAACGAGGACTAACATCATCAACAGAGCACTGCCAGCAAATGCACGTGGAAACATTCCCGGCCCAGACCCACCTGAGGGGTCTGGACAGGTTCGTGCCTGGCTGGAACCTGGCATCAGAGCTCCTTCTGGGCAGACGGCCCTAAGCAGACAACCTTCTGCTCGACAGCTGCCTTGTACAGCTCCACAGCATGGGGCAAGACGCGCAGCAAATGGTTTACAAATCTGAGCACAGCTTCTCCTGGCCCTGCATCCACCTCCCTGCTGCCCTGTATTCCCGGCCACAGGGCACTCCTCCAGCCCAGGAGAGCACAGACCTGCCCGGCAGGATCCTGCCAGGGTGTGGAACCCCAACTCTTTCACAGAGTCCGTAGAGGATACAGCTTCAGGGCTAATGGTCCAAGAGTTCCCTCCTTCTTCGGGAACTGCTCCCAGGTAGGGTAAGCCCGCCTGGGGACTGCTCCATTCGCCTGACCGCCTAACCGACCGTTTTTGAAGAGCTTCCTACTGGCTTCCTCAAAGAAAACAAGCCCACGCTGAAGACTTGCCCACAGCCCAGACCCACAGAAGTTGCTGGGAGTCCCGTGGTGAAGAGGGTGGGGGGAAAGGAAACTCAGCCACGGGTGGAACCAGCAGAAGCAGAGCGAGAGGGGCCAGGGGTGGGGGTGGGAAAGAGACTCCTCTTCCGCCTACACGGGCACGCAATGAGCGCCAAGTTCCCACCGTCTGCAGGGCAAGACCCAAAGAAGCCAACAGTGGGATCACTGAGAAAGAGCCGTGCGGTCCACGGGGGCCTGGCGCCCGGCCTGAGCGGGGGCCACCCAGAGGTCTTCAGGCCTCCAGGGAAACGGACAGCCGAGGGGAGGGGCGGGCTCGAGCGCGGGGCAACTCACGGAGGAGAAGTTGTGTGGGCCGCAGAGCTCGCCTCGGTACTTGCAGGAGAGCAGCATGTCCTCGAGCTGGTGGCCCAGGCGGTCCATGAAGGCAGCGCTGATGCCCTCGAAGTGGCGCGGCGGCAGGAAGAGACGAAAGTCGGCCAGCTTGCGGAACCACTGGCGGCGCGGCTCGTCGCCCCGCAGCAGCTCGCTGACCAGCGGGCGCGCCGTGCGGTTGGGCAGCAGCAGCCCGAGCCAGTGGCCGGCGTAGTACAGGTCCCCCTTGGAGAGGCGCGGGAAGCGCAGCGGGTTGTTGTTACACACCGTGACGGCGGGGAAGGGCAGCTGGCGGCTCCATTCGCGGTGTACCCGCGTGTGCGACGGGAAGCTGAGCCAGTAGAGCAGACGGTTCGAGGACCAAGAGAGCAGCAAGCCGAGCGACGTGCAGAAGGCCAACACCCACAGCGCCCGCCGCTGGAACGATCCTCCCGCCGCCGAGCGCCCGGCGCACATGTGCCGCAGCCCGTGCAGCTTAGCGCGGCTCAGGGACGGCCGCCCCCTGCGGGCGACCCCTGGCCCGTGCAGCGCGCGCTCCGCGCCCCGGCCGCCTCCGGGCTGCCCCGCCGCCGCCACCGCCCCCGGCGCCGGCTCCTCGCGCGCCATGCGGAAGCGTCCCGGGCCGGTGAGCGCGGCCGCGGGCCGCCCGGCTCCGCCGCTCCGGCTCATTCATTCAGCCCGCGGCTGGCGGCAGCGGCGGCCCCGGCCGGGAGGAGCCGCCATGGGAGTCCGCAGCAGCAGCAGCAGCAGCAGTGGAAGCAGCAGCAGCAGGCGCCGCGCGCAGCCCGCACCAGGGAAGCGTGCGCCCGAAAGGAGCTCCAGTGGCGCGGCATGCCCGCCCGCCGCCACCGCCGCTGCCGCCTCCGCGGGCGTCCGCCCGGGACCGAGCGCCGCCCGGCCTGCCGCCGCCTCGGCCCTGGCCTCTCCCAAGCTCCTTTCGGGCTCTGACGGCCCCTGGTCTTCCTGGAGGTTGCCCGACGCCGGACGCTACCTCTGGAGGGGCCCCGCCGAGAGCCGCCTCCCCAGTCCCTGGGCAATGCGCCCGCCTTCCTCGTCCTAGACCTCGGGGGACCCTGAGCTGAGTCCCCCCAGCCCCGCCTAACCCCAGCTTTTACGCTGGTCCTGGGAGAGGGGCCACTCCGCCACCATGCCTTCTGTGGACATCCTCAAAGACCCCACCAGCCTGGCCCGTAGCCGGCGGTGCTGGGACGCGCGAGAGGAGGCGCCGAGGAACGAGCGCCCCCAGAGGCGCGACGCGGATCCCGGCTTGGCGGGTGCGGTGGGTGTGTACTGGGGTGAGTGGTCACCCTGCCGGCCGCTGCGCTCTGCTCCTTCCCTCCAGGACCCTTCCTTGCTCACTGCTCCGTGGGCTGCGCTCTGCCGAGACCGCGAAGGCTTTCCCAAGTCTCGCGCCGGAGCCCTGTGGTGCGCCGGCCCTCGTCGGGGGCGGGGGTCTTCTGGCGTCCTGTGGGCCGCTGCTGGCTTCCGGGTTCCTTCAGAGCTGCTGGTCGGAGGGTACTATCGCTTCTCTCCCGGCTGTCCAGGATGGGTGCTTCACGGCTCCAGGAAAGACTGGCTTCTCTGTCCTCTGCTCTCTGCCCTGGCGGCTCCGAGAGCCAGGGACTGCGGAGCCCCTGCAACACCTTCTGGGGATGACCAGGACCCACTGCTCGCGCGTCCTTCTCTCGAGACTTCAGAGTCCGCCGAGGCGTCGGCGGAGGCGCGGGCTGAGCTTCTCTCCCGGTGGCCCGGCCCTCCTCGGGCCCCGGGCGAACTTGGGCAGCGGCCGCGCGAAGCTGGCGCGGCAGGGCTCCGAGCACCTGCTCCTCGGCTCGCTGGCTCGGCGGCTCAGGGCGGGCGGGGCAGCGGCGGCGAGCGCTGTGCGCTCCTGGAGACGCGGTGCTGACGCTCCCCGACTCCTCCTCGCTGCATTTTGATTCCTGGCCACTGTGGCCGCTGCACACCGAGCCGCAAACCTCTTGCTGGAGTTGCCGGAGTAGGGAGGGTTCACCGTCCAAATGTACCGGGGTAGTGGGGCTGAGGGGACGACAAGACGTGGTGTGACAGAGGCCTTATGTGTATATGTAGACAGGTGTGGCGTGGACTCCGGAGTGTGTGAGATAGGCTGGGGAGAGCGCGGTTGTGCAGTGTGGACATTTGAGCCAATGAATGAGCGTGGTGCCATGCAGAGTGTGGCGGGATGTGCAGTGTGAGTGTGTGAATGGGCATTTCTGTAAACGTGTATGAATACCGGCCGGTGGCTAACGCAGACTGTGTGCTGTGTGGAGGACAGGGCATTTGGCGGACTTTACATGGTGTACACATCCTGCACACGTGTGCACGCACTTAATGGGTGGTGAGTATGAACGCACGTGGGCGCTCAGTGTGTTTTGTGGGGTGGGGGTGGGGGGGTATGTAAGGAACTGCCGTAAGTAACGAGGAGTCAGTTCCTGGGCCTCTAGCAGGTGACACTCAGTGAGACAGCCCTCTGCCCGTTGGAGCCTTCCTTCTGTGCCCCAGCCTCTTGTCTGGAAAATTGTAGCTCAGACCTGCCCCAGTCAGACAAGTACAGCTTTCTGAGGTGGGTGGAGGGAGAGTGTGACTTCCTTTTCCGCTTTCCTGCTGCTGGGATGCAGCTGGGATCCTGCATTAGCTCATGATATCAGCATTCCTTCCTGGCCCAAAGCAGGGTCTCCACTGGCCCCATGACCCTTGTGGACATTTTGTTTGGCTTTTTCAGTAGTCTGCCTTGGCTTGCTTGGGGCAACCCACGAGATATGCTGCATTTCATAGGTGAGGTTGGGTGGGGAGGGGCAAGTACAAGCCCAAGGTCACATAGCCCGTGGACCCCACATGCTCAGAGCCCCATCTCTTTCCATGGCACTAGCGAGTTTTCAGTTGGTTTCTGACGCATGCACGTTGAGAGCAGGGCTGCATTCCACACCTGTGGCTATCTGGTGGTGACTGGGCAACAGAGCCCTCACTGGGGCCATGTAGCAGTTGGTGCCCCATTACTCCATGGGGTAAAGGATTCCCATGCATTTCCCAGAGGTAAGACTTGGGTGGAGGAAGAGACAGTGGAAAGGAATCCAAGCACCCAGCAGGCGATGCAGCATTGTGTTCTTTGAGAACAGAAGACTCGGAGAAGGAGATATTGGGCTATAGGGAGGAATTTCACCCACTTTGAGGAGACGAATTAGGAGCAGCATCAGTTTCAAGCGAGAGAGAAGTAGTGCTGGGGTGGGCTTCCCCTTTCCCAGAGACCACCCTGAGCCTCTGAACCCCTGTGCTCCATTCACCCACACACATACCTCCACACAGTCACACCTACACACATGCACATGTCACTCAAATACACTGCACACACGAAAGCCCATGCTACACAATATGGCATGCGCTCACAGACCTGTAGGCCTTCTCATTCAGCTGGGGAGCAAAACATTGCAGTTAGGCATCGCCAGAATGCTGCTTTGGATTAGGGTCCTGAGGGTGTCTGTAGCTTGCTTTGGAGGGACGACTCTGCTCTGATGCTGTGGCTATACCTGCACCAGTGGCTCACATGCCAGGGGTTCTGAGGTGCCTCAGGGACCTGTGTCCTAGCTAACATGGGGGAACCTGTGATTTCAGCCCAGCTACTGACAAAGCAGCCAGGGCAAGCAGGTGCTCGAGATTCCTTCCTGGGGAGCAGCATTTAGCTCTAGGTTGTAAAATTGCCTTTCCCATGTTTACAGTTCTGATTTGCTCAGCTACAGTAGGGTTTTTCTTTGCTGGCACCTTCCCTCTTGAAAAGCACCACGTCTGGTGGACTGTGTGTCTTCACCATGGATTTTCCTATGAATTCTCCAGGTGAGAAGCTCTTTCAGGAACATGAGGCAGCATCCTGCTTATGCCTCAAAGGGCCACAACACAGAAATTCAGAGAAAGACACAGGATTATCCAGTGGCCCCTAGCAAAAAATGCCAGCTCTGCTTATAAACCCCCTGGGGCAGCACATTGGTTCTGCTTCCTGAGATGTCCAACCCTGCTCTCCTACTAACACCTCGAGTAACCCAGTGAAGCTCTGCTCTTCACCCGTAGTGTCAGCACAGCTCCTGGGTAAGGGCTTACTGCTGTCTCCCAGACGGACCTTGTCCTCCTTTCCCTGTAATCCCAGCAGGATTCCGCCCACAGTAGTCCTGCCATGGTTGTGTTCAGGCTTTTCACCTGGACAGTGACCCCTTTGATGACAGGACCACATTTCGTTCATGTCTCTGTCCCCACCTCTTAGTTCATGTCTGTGTCCTGGCAAAAATGATGCAACACATGGACATAGGGGAAGAGAAGAAAGAAACTAATGTTTCTGGAACACTACTGTCTATGTCAGGCACTGAATTAAGCACACGCTTTGTTTGGTCCCTCATCCTAACCCTGAAGGGGTGGTAAACTGGCCCTCTTTGTGCCACCATTGAACCAAAGGCTTGGAGCGCAGGATCTGAACCCAGCTCTCACGCATTCCAGACTCCATGATTTCCCCTCTCTTAACATGCTTCTTTCCAAAGTATTATGGTAACTAATATAACTAAATGCAGGCCTTCCTAAGTGCTTGGCTCTATCCCAAGGGTTAAAAACAAGTATCATAAATGTCCTAAGTGTTCAACACTATCCTCCCAAAATAAATACTATTATCTCTACCTCAAAGACAAGGAGGCTACGTTAGTCTTTCTCAGCCACACAGCCCCTAAGCAACAGAGCAGGTTTGGAGTTCAGCCCAACTCCTCCCCCTGTGCTCTCAAGTCCTCCACTGCACAGTATTGTCTCAGCATCCAGCTCAACACCAATGCAACATCTCGTATGAATTAACTTTCCCATTCTGGCCTACTCCCTCCTCAGCCAGAAAAACAATTGCCAGGCAATGCCTGCATTGACCCACATAACCTTTCCACCAAGGAAACTAGAATCTAGCACTGTGATTTCCCAATAACAAACTTTTAAGGAACTTTCCCTTTGCTTATCTCCAGAACACCCAGCAGGCTGGTGGTCCATGAGATGTTTATGTACAGTGACAAGAGGATTTCTAGTCAGCCAGTCACCCACCCCACATTCTGGGGCATGACCACAGCCAAAATGACAAGCGCTTTTCTTTTTTGAAATGAGTTGGTTGGGAGGGCAAATGCAGGTTGGATCAATGTGTAGTTCTGTTTGCCTAACACTATTTTAGAAGCTGGTACCTGTCTCAACTTGTTCAAGCTTCAGGGGTTCCCCTAGTGTTTGAGTTTAAGCCCTAATCCCCACTTCTCAGGGATTTAGAATTGGAAAGCATCTGAAATAGCAGCAGATCCTGTTCCTGAAGGAAACTCTCCACGTACAGTGCACAGGTAACCCTACTGCAGGACGTCTTGTCCTGTATAAAATTTTTCTCCTCTTCAACAAATGTGTATCTTCTAGTGTATTTCTCACTAATTTATCACTGCGAAGCCTTTAAAAAAAATAAGCTTGGTCCTCTTCCATGTCAGCATTCCTCAAACACTTCATAGAATTGGAATCTTTCGATGATAAAAGGGGGATGTGCCCATTAGCATCTGTAAGACAGCCTTTTCTCTAGTCTACATGTCACCTGGTCCTTGCTCCTATAGTTTGTTGGCTGGGATACAAGGTGCTGACACTTTACAGGGCATTCTCCCACCCCTGTGAGTGTGAACTACCGACCCTTTACCCTAACTCTGGCCCTCCCAGTCCCCTGATCTTCTGATACCCCTGGTCCCTTATTTATCCTCTTGCCTCTGTGCAGGGAACAGAATCATGAGGATGGGTCCCGGGGTCCCTGCTTGAAATGCTGAGTTCACAGTCCATTAGGAATATGCAGCTGATGGTGATGAGAGCTCACGTGACTTTCAGGATTAGAGGTCATCGCTATTATGGGACATGTAGGCTTTTGTAGATATGCCTGTAAACCTATGTTCCTTTCATTTTCTCTGCTTTCTCTTTGTCTTTCTTTCTGGGCTGTTAATGGCTTCCTGTCCCTCTACCCATCTCTATCCTCTGTCCTTTTCCCCTTTCTCCTCTTTACCTCCCCTTCATTCTCTGCCCAGCCTCATGGTCCTCTCTGAAACCTTCCCAGCCTATGCTGCTTGTTGATTGCTTCAGGAGCCCCAGAGGTGGCCACAGTATTTTGGGACTTGAGCACATGTCCAGGAGTCACAGCCATGGAAAGGAGAGCCAGGGGGATGTATCTGTTGTACTTTTGAGTTGTTTCACCCTCATTTTTCACACTTTGCCCTGTGGGGCTGGCAGGGGAGTTGCTGCCCCATCTGATCTTTCCAAGCATGCCTGTGTCTCCACCACCTGAGCCTCTCTTCCTGGTTTGCTGACACACATTTCACCTCTCCTGGATCCCTCTTCTTCTGGGCTCTTTCTTACACTCACCAGATATTTTTTCTTTTCTCAATCATCCCTGTTATGTTTGAATGCAAGCTCTCTTTCACTCCCAGGGAATTCCAGATGTAAGGCATCAAGCAGAGCCCTTGGCCACCAGAAGGAAGACCATGTGCCTAGAGGGACCAAGTCTACAGTTAAGAGGTGGATGACTCTCACTAGGCAGGACCGTAGGGAGCTTGGCTGATGCACTGGGGTCCTAGTTCAGTGGAGAATTCTGAAAGGTGAGAATTGGCTGCAAAATCTAATTTCACTCTTTCATGTTCAAGGGAAGAGGTGAAGAGCCAAAGATAAGCTTGCTATATATACCCCACACAGGTTGATTCCGATAAAGACAGAACCAGAACCCAAGTTATAACTTCTGATGTATTCACTGTCCACCCAATGAGGTGAGTGTTCAAAAATTCTATTTTGAAATCAGCAACATAATTACATGGCT